ACCACCAAAAATGCAAACTAAAAATGCGAACAATAAACAATAACAGCATAGTTACATAAAACATATGAATACATAACAATATAAAAATAAAAAAATATGCACAGGCACAATAGTAATGGGCGGGCTACATGTAGTGATTAGAAGGACAAACTGATTAAAACGAATTAAAAACTCGGGCGAGATAAAAGAGGGAACATTGCTTATTGTCCCACCTATGGGAAGGAGATCTGTATATTGAATTTTGACGTCTATCTTAGCTGAAAGAAAGGCACCCCACTCCTGTCTCATGAAACAGTACAGTCTTCCAGAACTTAGATCTAGCAAAACCAAACAAGATCAGACAGCATAACTATATAGTATGTACTTATAAATCTGCTTGGCAACCACTTTCCTACTGTGCTGTAGGTTTTTGCCAACATTTCAATTTCCTAGACAGAGATGCCAGAAAAAAATGATTTTTAAGTGACTACACAGGGCATTACAGTTCTGATAAATATGAAGTACAAAACCGGCTAAGTTGTATTCCAACAGCTTGGGGGAGAAGAAATATGTATGTTTCTTAGGTGACTAGTAGCTGTTGTCTACCCATAACACTATGTAGCATGAATAATTTCCTAATTAGTTCTATCATAAAAACATGGAAAATGTTTATTAAACTGCAAAAACTTGGTTTTTGCGGGACATCCTGCAGCACATTTTGCTATAGTTCTTCAGTCTGGTGAACTGATGAATATCTCATCAAGTCTTAACCAATTCAATGTAGTTTGTAGTAGCCACAAAAGCTAAGTTTCTGGAGTATACTTTCAGAGTACTGCATATTAAACAGAAACAACACTTTCAAACCAGGAACATTTTTTTTCAAATTTTATTACATAGTGTAATTGTACAAAGGGACAGCAGCAAGAGGAGCTAAACAGCTCCATTAAATGCAGTGTGAAATTTGCACATAACACTATACTATAATTTTGCTGTCCTTGCACACCTCTCCGCCTACATTTGTGCTCTCTGGTTCTTACTCTGACTTACTTTGCACGTGAAAGCACAACTTTGTACAGCAGTGTCCTAGATCAGGGCTTCTGATCAAGTGGAACTATGTAACCATATTGACTTGAAGGCAGTTACTTTTTCCTTTCAGGCCTTTCTTGGCAAAGCAGGGTATTCAGGAATGTAAGGGGCAGGGCTGAAGCCTGTGTCCTCCACTCCCTCTAGTGGTGTGCTGAACATGATTTGCCAGAAGTCATGGAAACTATTGAGGTGTGCAGGAATGGAGCATATAAGTCTAAGGATTGCCACACTACATTTTGCGTAACATGTGAACAGCTGGTGCAGTGGCTGTTTCACTCCATGTTTCTTTCTATAGCAAAGCTAAAAATAAACAGGAAAGGAATAATGCAAAGTATCAGCAAAGTACGTTCAATAATACCCGTGCACATTCTTTTTCAAATAATTGGAGATAAGTTATTTCAGTAACTGAGCTGTTTGGTAGGCCAGTGTAATTAAAAACAAAACAAAAAGCCAGTCCAACTAGAATGCAAAATTCATTTTAATATTTTTTTATTTCTTTATCAAAATATTATGTCTCACCCCTTGTTATAGGGTTTCAAGATGGAATACGGACAAAATGATAAACATTGTTAAACAATTCTACATTGTGGCAATAAAATAGTTTGAACTGTATAAAATACATACATTTTAAAGCAATTTAAGCTCTCAGTCTAATAAAAACATGTTTTGTCTTGGTTTGGGAAAGAAACCAATGCCACATCAAAGCTCCGGGGATGGAGGGGGAGCATTCCACAACTGGGGTGAGAAGTCATTTCCTCATGTCTTCCTGCATTGTATTGCCCTTGCAGGTAGAGAGGAATGGGCCCTCCTGCAAACCTCAGAGAGCTGCTCTTTCCAATATTGAAGTCCCAATATGTCTCTGCTTCAAATGCCAACATCAGGACTGCTTTAAGATCAGTGGTAGACAGCACATTTTCATTAAGACAACTCTTATATACTGTCTATATGGTGTGTCAGTCAACAGTCCCTTTATTATGTGAAAGGCAGGATAAAAATAAATCTCACTGGTGTATTCTGAACTAGCTGTAGGTTGAGATTTCCCGAAAGACTGTTATTTCTCTGTATGAGCATGTACAATTTTCAGATCCCTTGGGGAGACCCTTTTTTGTCATGTGGTGGCACAGTGAGTTAAACTGCTAAGCTGCAGAACTTGCTGACCAAAAGGTCGACTGTTCAAATTCGTGGGATGGGGTTAGCTCCCGCTGTTGGGGTTGGGGTTAGCTCCCGCTGTTGAATTTAGTAGCTTCTACCTGCAGAGTATTTACTAGTGTTGTTTTTCACTTTCGATTGGAGTAGACAACTGTAGAAGAGTGGCCTTCCATAGGCGTCGAACTAGAGTAGACTCACCAAACAACAGGTATCAATATGTATTAATATGAATTCCGCAAATTTAGTGAATCTAATCTAGGTGGGACAAGCATTGGGAGTTGAGCCATGGTTTATGTAACTTTTAAATGTTACGTAAATGTTTCAAACTTGCTATTGAAGTATTGCCAGTTGATGGCTTTTTGTTAAACATACAAACGTATATAGCCTCCAGTCTTGCATCCTACATAAGTATTATACCTGGATGGCTCCACTAGAGTGCATGCCATGGCTCAATGCTAAGGGATCGTATGAGCTAAAGTTTTCTCTACCTAATAGTGCCAGTGCCTCACTAAACTACAGTGTAGAATCATTTCCTAGGAATAATTCAAAATGTTTATTTGAACGGTAAAGCCCCAAATGATCTGGGATAAATGATAAAAGTTGTTTTGCCTTCAACTATGGACACCCTAGGAAAGCAGAGTTCAGCAAACATATTAAATCATAAAGATGTAGATGGTCTGTCTTTTCACAGAAACACGGTTGAGATCAGTACCAAGGCCACCATATCATTCTTCCTTTTTATATTCAGGAAAATTGAAAATTTCATTTTTGGAATCCCAACTCAGCATGAACATGCAATGTCTTTTAAAAGTCTACAGATAGATACCATCTTCGATACTCCTTAAAAAACTTTACTAATTTTTCTGCCAAAAAAAAAACCAGTAACACAAAAGCACTTTACAAAGCACTTCATTCCATCTCATCTGTTGTACTAAAATAACAGTTTGTGATATTACTGAGCAAACCATTTTGGAAATTCAGAGATATACAGAGTTGTAATATATCATAGATAAACATACTACTAAGAATGCAAATCTTTAAGCAAATGCCTTCCAGTTTAAAAGAGGCTTCCCTTTTCATCCCAATTCCGAGTTGATATAAAAGAAGAGCATTTTTGTTCCAGCATAAATTCTAAAGAGGAAGTAGATGGTCTGTTTTACAGTGCTCTTGTAAGGTTGTTTCATGGTTTGAGTTGGAGCCCCCGGTGGCGCAGTCGGTTAAACCCCTGTACCAGCAGAACTGTACCAGCAGAACAGGTCGCAGGTTCGAATCCGAGGAGAGCACGGATGAGCTCCCTCTATCAGCTCCAGCTCCTCATACGGGGACATGAGAGAAGCCTTCCACAAGAATGATAAAACATCAAAACATCTGGAAGTCCCCTGGGCAACGTCCTTGCAGACTGCCAATTCTCTCACACCAGAAGCGACTTGCACTTTCTCAAGTCACTCCTGAAACGACAAAAAAATTGGTTGTTGTAGGGGTTTTTTCGGGCTATATGGCCATGGTCTAGAGGCATTCTCTCCTGACGTTTCGCCTGCCTCTATGGCAAGTATCCTCAGAGGTGGTGACAAAAAAATGGTTTGAGTTATACAATATATGTATACAATATATGTTTTGAAAGCAAAACGAAGTTCAACTAAGTATTGTTGTGCTATACAAAATGTGTTACTGCTGTGGTCAAAATATATTTTAGGGAAAGCCCTGGGTAGGCAAGCCAAGTTGATCTTATTGCTATTACGATGTTGTGACAACTTTAAATGCTTTGCTTAATTTCACTGTACTTTATGGATTCCAAATTTTATTCTGTGAACTACCTTGACAAGGCTTTGCCTGGAAAGCTGGTATATGATATTTTAAATAACAAAAATACATTTAAGAACTTTGTTCCTATTTGACATTGTCCACAAATAAAAGGCAGTAGCCAGACAAGTGTTAATGGAGGCAGATTAATACAAGACAGCACAAGAGATTTATTTATTTTTTTTGTCGTGTCAGGAGCAACGGCTCCTGTTGTGAGAGAATTGGCCGTCTGCAAGGACGTTGCCCAGGGGACAGCACAAGAGATAAAAGGGTATAGATTTGACCCACAATGTTCTGCCTACCTTCTTGAATAGAGCTTAATAGAAAAGAAAGCCCTGTGGTCACAATAGTTCTTCATTTCTTTTTTCATTTTATTTTCTTCACATCTAAAAGTTTCATGATTAGCCACTATGAAAGGTTCCTAAAGTAGCAGCATCTATGTTTGGACTTACGTTTGTTCTACCCACATGTGTGGAAGGAGAACATATTTCCTACAAGGAAATGACTTCCATATAGGAAATTCATCTTGTGTGAATACTGTCTGTTTTCAATCTCTGTTTTCACTCATGCTTAAAATGCTTGATAGCTTTGCTAGACACTTTCTCTGCGGCAAATGAAATGTGGTTGTACGCCTCAGTGGGCAAAGTGGCAACATTCTGCTTCAAACATATACACATTCAGTGTGAAATAAGCATGATCATAAATAAAATTAATACTTACATGATACCAAGTACATAATTATTTTTAGATGTGCTGAATTCTCATTAGCAACAGGCATTTTTCTTGTCCCCACCGCTTCTGAACTTCTGTGCATCAAAGACTGACTATATTCTACTTTGTGCATGTTGAATTAAATGTGACTGCGGCTGTAGTGTGCATATGCATTTCAGAAAGCAGACATTCTCAGAGTCCTCTGAAATGTAGTAATATGTATCATTACCATTTTTGCTAATTTACAGTGATAACTGTGTCTCTGTTTTCCCTAGGAGATGAAAGCCGGGAAATTAAAAAACAAATTACAGGGATGAGAAGATTACTGAATGACAGCACTGGAAGAATATATCAGCGCGTTGGCAAAGAAGGAGAAAAACTGAAGGAAGAACCTCAGGATTTAGATTTGGCCTGGGCTCAACGTCTAAACTCTCCTGTAGAAACTCAGGCAAACCCCCATTCGTCTCAGAGTGGCACTTGGAATGACTTATCTCCACAGACTAGCCACTATTCAGGGCAATATGGAACTCGTTCCAAGACCTTCCAAAACCAAGCTAAAACCGTAGGCTCAAATGGTATGATCTACATATTTTAAACATTATGTGTTTGCTTTGTTTTTGTTTGTTCAAAATACATTTCACTAAATAATTGACAAAAGTCGCATTAAAGGTTTTTTTTTTCAAAATTCTAATAGTCACTGTGAAAAATCTTGAGACTGTTGTATAAAGTTTATATAAATTGATTTGTTAATACATTGAAAATGTATTTTGGTTAAGGCCACAGATGGGAATGATGTTAGCTGATAGTAATCAAATGAAGTTTTAGTCAAATAGTGGCTAACTTTATTCCAGAATGTATGCATCTGTCTCAACAGGAGCAGGAAGAAGAGCTGGGTACTTATATCCCTGCCTGTTCCTCCCATGTTGTTCCTGCTGTTGAGCAGGAAAAAAAAACATAAGCATAAAATAAGAGGTTACATATATACCATACTTTGCACTAAACTGACACCATCCCATATTTTGAATTTGGATTGAAGCTCGCTTGCCAAGAAACTTGGCTGTTACTGACTCAATTGCCAAGGCCATTCAACTTTTAGTATGCACTTGTCATATTTCTGTTTTCTTCTTAGTGAGAGAATTGTCTTTCTTTTTTTGTCAGATTATTCTTCTAAAAGTGTCTTTATTCTTCTACAATTTTTGTTTGGCATTTGATGCTATTCAACATCTTAATTAATGACCCAGTTGAAGATTTAGAGGATGTGCTTATCAAATTTGCAGATGACATCAAATTGGGAGGGATCAGAATTCAAAATGACTTTAACAGATTAGAGAGCTGGGCCAAAACTGACAAAATAAATGTCAACAAAGAGATACGTAGGATACTACACTTAGGCAGAAAAAAATCAAATGTACAGATACAGGATGAGTGATGTCTGGCTCGATAACAGTACATGTGAAAAGGATATTGAAAGAAGTTGAAAATTAGTCAGAAATGTGATGCAGCAGCTTTAAAAGCCAATGGGATTTTGGGATGCATCAAAAGGAGTATAGCAGGGGGTCCACAAACTTTTTAAACAGAGGACCAGGTCACAGTCCCTCAGACTGTTGGAGGGCCGGATTATAATTTGAAAGAAAACATTAATTCCTATGTACACTGCACACATCTTATTTGTAGTGCAAAATCATTTTAAAACAATACAATAATAAAAATGAAGAAAATTTTTAACAAATATAAGCTTATTCGTATTTCAATGGGAAGTGTGGGCCTGCTTTTGGCTGATGAGATAGGATTGTTGTTGTTGTTGTTGTTGTTGTGTGCTTTCAAGTCAGTTCAGACTTAGGTTGACCCTGAGCGAGGGCCGGGTAAATGACCTTGGAGGGCCGTATCTGGCCCCCAGGCCTTAGTTTGAAGACCCTTGGAGTATAGTGTTTAGATTGATGGAAGTCATGGTGCCTCTCTATTCTGCTTTGGTCAGACCTCACCAGGAATACTGTGTCCAATTCTGGACACCACAATTCAAGAGATATATTGACAAGCTGGAACCTGTCCAGAAGAGGGCAACTAAAAGGTCTGGAGACCATGTCCTATGAGGAGCAGCTTAAAGAACTGGGTATGTCTAACAGAAGAGAAGGTTGAGAGAAGATATGATAGCTATGTTTAAATATTTGAAATGCTATCATAAGGATGAGGGAGCAGGCTTGTTTTGTGCTGCTCTAAGATGGAACAATGAATTCAAATTATAGGAAAGGATTTTCCACCTGAACATTAGGAAGAACTTCCTGGCCATAAGAGCTGTTCAACATTAGAACACACTGCCTTGGAGGGTAGCGAAGTCTTCTTCTTTGGAGGCTTTAAAACAAGCCAGATGGCTATCTGTCGGGGGTGCTTTGATTGTGCTGTTCCTGCATGGCAGAGGGTTGGATCAGATGGCCCTTGTGGTCTCTTCCAACTCAGTGATTCCATGATCTTCTGGGTTGTCACAGGTGTCTGTAGGAATGCAGATTAGTGTGCATGAAATGTGCCTAACAAAATAAATGGCTGCTTATTTAGTTATTAGAACTACCTTGTGGTGCTATATGTCTTTAAAAAGTTTTAACATACAACATGATTCTGTTGTTCTCAGTGTTGTGCGGGGAAGGGAAGAAGACATGGTCCCTTTTGGAAGGATTTTGATGGTCTGATTATTAGTGTCCCCCCCCCCCCTCTCTCTGCATAGACCCTGATAGGATCTAGTAAGGATAGCAGTAGCCAAAGCTATATTTTGGCCCTTAACTGAAAGGGTGACTTATACTACAAAGCTATCTCCTTCATTTGCAGTTGTGTGAGCATTCTTCATTAAATGTTGGTAGTCTTAAGCTAAACAAAATTATACTTTTCTTAGTTCTTTAAAGGAGGAGTAGAAAGAAACACGGCTATTAATATCTATAGAAAGTCAACAATAAAGGCAATTTAGGTCCCTTATCTGTGAAACAGACTTGCCAGTTTATATGTGCCTTCCCGATCTGGGTTTCTACATATATTTTTTTACTTCAATGGCTATTAGGCCCTGCCATTATTGCCAATAGCCAGGAATGTAGTCCTAAAACCCTAAGGGACAATAAATTATGGAAGGTTGATATGGAGGATGACAAGCACCAGAGTAAGGCAAATACATAAACTATTTTTTGGACTTCAGGATAAAAAAAGGTTAAAAATAGGCAAGAGTGAAAGACATGGGAGAGTTATGCCACTGAGATTTTGCCTTTAAAACATGGCATGGGGGTATTCATACTTTATTTTAGCCCAAAATATTTTAATGATTTCCTTTTTAAAAAAAATTGGGAGTGAATGTGTTCAGATTTTATTCTGGCAGGTCAGCAGAATGTCTAGAGCAGTGCTTCCCAACGTTTGATCCTCCAGGTATTTTGGAATTCAGCTCCCAGAAATCCCAGGCAGCTTACCAGTGGTTAGGAATTGTAGGAGCTGAAGTCCAAAGCACTTGGAGGACCAAATGTTGGGAACCACTGGTTCCCCTTATTATGGTTTTGATAGTTTCCTGCAAACTATCTGTGGAAGAAAATGTGCTAACAGGTTTATTTTAATGCTTCTGCTGATACTCTGCTACTGTGCAATCCAGTGGAAAAATTCATTGACTGAAATAGGTGTAAAGCAAGTTTTAATTCTTAAGGGCTCATCTATCCAAATAGTTTTCTTTAAATCAGCACTTACATTTATAATTTGTTGTTATCCCTATATATACACATCATATATACATACTTGCTTTTGTTCTTTAAAATGATAAAGGTGATGCTTTGAACATAAAGTAAGAACCTTCTGTAATGTGTTTTGTTTTGCTTTTAGTCATCCAAAGAATTATATTTTTTAAAAGTTCATAAATATGTATGAAGTTAGCAGAGCCCTGCTTTTGATTTGAAATATTGGTGGTCTCTTTTTCCATTTACTGTACATAGCATAGATTTACATGGGTAATTTCTATCAATGCTAATGGGAATTATAATGTAAATCCCCTATGCCACAGTGGGAAAACAAACCCTTCGGTTTTCAATTGGGAGTTGCGCTACTGCACACCCTCATTAGTAATGCATTATATCTGTAGCAGAAAAGATGAGCAGGAATTTATTCCAGTGTTTGCTTTGTCAAAATTTTATCATGTTATTCACCAGAATATTAAACGCTAGAAAAGGTAGAGGGCAAATTAATAAAACACTGTTTATTTTCTAAGCCCAGTTCTCTACAAGTCAGAAAATTCAGAATAGCCTTATTCAAAATGTTTTGTTTCTTTTAATCAGCAGTAGAAGAGATAGAATAGACTGGGAAAAGATAGACTTTAAAAATACTTTGCGCCACCGCCTTAGCAGATTTTGTTCTGTATCTTAAAAAAATCTTAGAACATTTATTAGCAGAATTAAGTGAAAAAGTTTTGGAGTTTGGTGTCATTTGTATGCAGATGACACACAACTCTATTACTCTGTTCCACCTAAGTCCAAGGAAGCTCCCCAGATCCTAGACCAGTGCCTGGCAGCTGTGATAGGCTGGATGAGGGCTAATAAACTGAAACTAAATCCAGATAATACCTCCTGGTCAGTCGTGAGGCCAATCAGGGCATAGGGTGGCAACCTGTGCTCAGTGGGGTTACACTCCCCCTGAGGATACAGGTCCACAGTTTGGGGGTCCTCCTGGACTCAGTGTTGACCCTGGAGGCCCAGGTGTCAGCGGTGGCCGACAGGGCTTTTACACAATTAAAGTTTGTGCACCAACTGCGACCTTACCTCGAAAAGCTGGATCTGGCCACAGTGGCCCATGCCTTAGTTACATCTTGTATGGATTACTGCAATGCACTCTATGTGGGGCTGCCTTTGAAGATGGCTTGGAAATCACAATTAATACAAAGATTGGCAGCCTGACTACTGACTGGAGAAAGCTAGAGATAGCATACTACATCCCTATTAAAACAGCTCCACTAGTTGCCTATAAGTTTCTGGTTCCAATTGAAAGTGCAGGTTATTACCTACAAAGCCCTATATGGTTTGGATCCAGCCTATTTACATGATCGCATCTCCCCCTATGAACCGGCACGAGTTCTAAGATCTATGGGGGAGGCCTTTCTCTCGGTTCCAGCTCTGTCACAAGCATGGCCGATGGGGAGGAGGAAGAGGGCCTTCTTAGTTGTGGCCCTCCAGCTCTGGAATGCCCTCCCCGGGGATATCAGGCATGCTCCCACAATACAAATCTTTTGCAGAGAACCAAAAACTTGGCTTTTCAAACAGGCCTTTGATAACAGTTAATCAAACATTCAATAATCGGAAGATATAAGCAGCATTAAGTTTTTACACTGATGTTGATATTTTAATTAGATTTGTGGCTGGGATAGTCAGCCGGTTTGTATAATATGGTTTTAAATATTATAATTTATTGTCTATGTTTATTTTAGTTTGATTTGATGTGTTTTATGTTAAATTTCATGTTTGCTTTATCTTTATTTTTATTTGGCGTTTACTTTTATTGATTTAGGTTATGTGCTGTATATTTTATGTTGTTTTTGTTTGCATTGTGGCTGCCTTGTAAGAGCTGGGATCTCTGGAGAGATGGGGCAGAATACAAATAAAGTTGTTTATTATTATAATTACTATTTTTACTATTATTGAAATAGTAATATTATTATTACTATTGAATTATTATTATTATTACTGTTGAAAAAACCATCACTGGATCCCACTGATTTGAACAACTTTCAGTCAGTTTCCAATCTCCCCTTTTTGGGCAAAGTCTTGGAATGTGTGGTTGCCTCGCAGCTCCAGGGGTTATTGGACAAAACTAATTATCTGGATCCGTCGCAGTCGGGTTTCAGACCAGGACTTGGAATTGGGACAACCATGGTTGTCTTAGTGGATAATCTCAGGAGAGAGCCCGACAGGGGGAGTATGCCCCGGTTGGTTTTCCTGGACCTCTCAGCGGCCTTCAATACTGTAGACCACGGTATCCTTCTGGGGCGCCTTGCAGAGATGGGACTTGGAGGTACTGTTCTGCAGTGGCTCCAGGCCTTCCTGGAGGGTCGTACCCAGAAGATGTTACTGGGGGACTCCTGCTCGGCCATTGTCCTGTGGGGTCCCGCAGGGCTCGGTATTATCCTCCATGTTGTTTAACATCTACATGAAGCCACTGGGTGAGATCATCCGGAGTTTTGGAGTTCAATGCCATCTGCAGATGATGTCCAACTCTATCACTCATTTTCACAAGATGCTAAGGAGGCTGTCCAAGTCCTGGCTGCTGTGACGGTCTGGATGAGGGCGAGCAAATTGAAGTTGAATCCAGACAAGACAGAATGCGCTAACGGGTGATATGTTGTGTTTTTTTAAAAAACATTTTGATAGTTTGGTTGCATTTTATTCTTTTCCCTATATAATTGATTGTTTTTATACCATGAATACAGTTTAATTCTATTTTAATGTTCACTTTTTGTATTTTTAGCTGGATCTGTTTAAGATGTATCAACTTCCAATTTCCTTAGGAAGCATTCAAATAAAAGTTGTTATGATGCTGCTTTTCTCTTAGAGTTGAGATTCAAAGCAGCTCAAACTTAAAAGGCAATACAGTTGAAAACATACAAAAGCTAAATATTAAAATAATTAATTACCCGTTGGGTTGCTCTCTATTTTTGGTTTAAAACCCTCCTACCAGATACATCCTCTGTTCATGTCCAGCATTTGTTTTTAAAGTTTTAACTGTTACATCTGGCGCAGCCATAGGTTTTTAAATCATTGTGTGTTTTGTTCATGTGTGAGTTATATTAATTGTATTGTTTATTTTGCTATTGCTTGTTGTTTTTATTGATGTGTTGTTGGGCTTGGCCTCATGTAAGCCACTCCGAGTCCCTTGGGAGATGGTGGCGGGGTATAAATAAAGATGATGATGATGATTATTATTATTATTATTACTAAAATAACACTAAAATATAATTGTTGGACAAGTGGGTGCATTAACAAAAGACCCTTCTCATAAATGTTCAGCAGAGTGACTTATTAGCATCAGCATGACCCAGCACCAGTAGCCCAAAGTGATAAAAAGAACAAAAACACACAGACTAATGTTATATCTCCCATAGGATGATTTTCTGTGTCATAAAATAATATGATTACACTATTGACAAGAACAAGGTTTATACTTCCTTCATTGCTTCCACTCTGGGCTTCTTTCTTATGCAGATGAACAGCTTCGCTCTCACAGAGCCTCCACTCACACTGAATTTACACAGGACCTTCACACAATAGCTTTTTACACACAGCAGCCTTTATACTGGACCTTTACACACGAGGCCTTTAACCTGGATCCTCTCTCACTGAAGCTTCTCACACCAGGCCTTCTCACACACCAAGGCCTACCTCACACTGTGAGGCCTTCTCACAAACAGACCTTTCTCCCACTGAGGTTTACCTCAGACTGAGGGATACTAAGCTACAGGCATGCCTGCTTATATAGAACTGCAGCTTTTGCTGAGTCATTGCATCCATTTAACCCTTTCAGTGCTTGATTCACATTTTTATAATTAAAAATAACTAGTTAATTTTTAATAGTTCTGACAACAATACTAAAAATAAGTGCTGTTCTGATAGAGTTAAAGTGGCATAGCATTGCCACAAGAAAAGGTAAAAGGTAATTTTGGGTTTTTTTTAATTATTATTTTCTGTGAGTCTTTTGCATGGAGAGAAGGAAACAGAAAAGTGTTTGCTTTTTCACAATCTGGTTATTAGATGTATAAAGACATTAAAGCGGTTGCATAACCTTCTGGTCAGCACTAAACATGCAATTTTAAACAGAGTCCAGCCTGATATCAAACAAAAACCCCTCTACAGACATTTGCCTAGCCCTCAATTTTACATACAAAAATGGATACCTAATCTCAGGATGGCAAAGCCTGCGTTTCTAAGCTGTCAGGTCAAGTGTTGGAATCTTTTAGACTTGCTGACAAGCAAGCTATAAATCTATTAACAACCCCCTCTTCTTATAAAAGTAGACTACCACTTCCGCAACTACCTTACTTGAAAATAAACCCTGGGAAGAAGGACAATATTATAATGGAGAAGTATTTCAAGTATTTCCACCCCACGTAAATTTTCTTTTCACAAAAACTGGGCACACAGCACTCTGTTTTTTAAAAAAATATTAATACTGTAAAGAAACAAGCAACCTTCAATCCATTTTAGACTTGTTAGGTTTTTATTAAAGAACATTTATTTTCATTGTAAGGCTGCTGTCATAAGGAAGAAGAGTTTCTGTGGGCTTTTTGTGTGTGATAAAATGACTATAATTGTAACAAGGCTTGATGCTATTCTTATCCACTATGAATTAGGTTGACAATAAGGAGGCCCTCTGTGAGATCACATTCTGTGTGCTGCTTTGTACATACTTCACAAAATAATACATTCATCTTCATTTTGTATAATTGTATCACAATAGTAGACATGTGAGTTTTTTTTGTTCTTTTTTAAACTTTATAATAACCAGCAATACCAATGTTAAAATTCTGTCGCAATGTTTTTAGATAGAGTTTTCCCTTTATATTTGTTTGTATCTCTGTTTTTCCCTCAGGAGAAATTCCAGCAACTAATTCCTCCCCTGGCTCAAATTGTTGTACTTGTAATTGCCAGCCAGCATTGGAAGCCATTCTTCAAGAGCTTAAGACCATGAGAAAAATAATGCAGATTCAAGCAGGTATTATCCTCTGTTGTTCCAAAAATGTAATTCTCAGAAAAAAAAGGTTTGCTTACAGGTGCTCAGATGATACTTTTTATTACAGCAGTGGGTTTAGGCAATAGATTTTGCAGTTGTGCAGAGAACTATAAGACTTTCTTGGAAAATTTCATGCAGATTGTTAATTTCCTTTCCTAGTAGTTGATTTATGCCTCTAACCATTTGATCACATCGGCTTTTTTGTTTCTATTCATTTATAAACATACCTCAATTTATGTACAGTTTAATGCTTGAAAGGAGTCATGATATTTGGCATATTTGTCAACTTTCAGCACTTTTTCGCAAATGAGATAGTTTGAAAGCTCTGGAGATGAGGGTGAGAAGGCAAACCATATGTAGCATATTGGACATTTCTAGCCAAGACATGAGAAATGCCAAGCGTGAAGTACACTAACAAGTCAGCATGCTATTGCATGCATGAAGAGATTAATATTTATTTAAGAAACAGTGTTTGTTTATTTAAAACATTTATATTCCGCCTTTCTCACCCCGAAGGGGACTCAAGATGGAGCACAGCATATACAAGGCAAACATTTAATGCTGGGACACAGATTCACATACAATACATAACATTCAAAAATATTTATCAAAATATTAAAATATTAAAATACACCATTTAAATCCTCCTAGACATCCCCGTCAAATCATTGGCCTGGTCATCTTTCCTATTGCCGCTTTATTGCCCTGTCCCAAAAGCTTGGTCCTACAGCTAAGTTTTTACCATCTTTCTAAAGGACAGGAGGGAGGGGGCCGACCTGATCTCACCAGGAAGGGAGGTTCATAGCCAGGGAGCAATCACCAAGAAGGCCCTGTCTCTCGTCCCCACCAATCATGCCTGTGACAATGGCGGGACGGAAAGCGGGGCCTCCCTGGAGGATCTTAATGTCCGCAATGGGGAGATGCGTTTGGACAGCTAATTTGGGCTGGGGCCGTTTAATTCTTTACAGGCCAAAGCCAGCACTTTGAATTGTGCCCAGTAGCAAACTGTCAGCCCGTGGAGCTGGCGTAACATGGGAGTTTTTTGCTCCCTGTATGCCACCCCAGTTATTAACCTGGCTGCCTCTTGTTGGACTATTTGAAGCTTCCGAGCAGTCTTCAAAGACAACCCCACATAGAGTGCATTGCAGTAGTCTATCCTAGATATAACGAGAGCATGGACCACCGTGGCCAAGTTTACCTTAGGATGCCCCTACACATTTGAAACATGACGTTAAATAGTTTATTCTTATACTAGAAGGAAAGTTGAAAGTTAGTGTATAAATAGTTAAAGCATAGTGGCTGAAATCATGTTAAAGTGTTGAATAGAGTGTAAGAGGTTATTTTGTAGCCCTTTGTATTATAGTACTTCTAAAGCCAGATGTCTCTGCAACACTAGTATTTGCAGAAGAGAAAGGGCTTCCTGATACCAAAGAGTTTCTAGCATCTCGCCCATTTTAGTGTTACAAAGACAAAGGTGTCCCTCCTGTCCTTTAGAAGGATGGTAAAAACTTTGCTGTGGGACCAAGCTTTCGGGACAGGGCAATAAAGCGGCAATAGGAAAGATGATCAGGCCAATTAGATTTGATGCGGATGACTAGAACGGTTTTAAATGGTGTATTTTGATATTTTGATAAATGTTTTTTAATGTTTATATATTGTCTGTGAATTTGTGTCCTGGCATTGAATGTTTGCCATGTATATGCTGTGGTCCGCCCTGAGTCCCCTTCGGGGTGAGAAGGGCGAAATATAAATGTTTTAAATAAATAAATAAATAAATAATAGATGCTTACAAATGGGCATCTGGTCAAACCTAGGTGCCAATTAATACTCCTAAGCTGGTGAAGCAGTGGTGTGCAACTATAACACTAGAATTTTTTAGGCTGCTATTCCTCTGCAAATATTATTCTGGCTAGAAGTAATGGATATTATAACGCAAAAATATGTGGAAGGTATAGTCAACAATGATGTAGGCAAATGGTAAATTAGAAAGCAATGGGAAATCCTATTTTGGTGTCTCTTGCCTATTGTGAGTGCATCCAGTCTAATCAATGCCCTCCTGGCTTTTCCTTTCTCCAGCAGCTGCTCAAAACAGACAGCAGCCTTTAGTCCCCCTGGTTAGTGCACAGAAATCAGCCCTGGCAAGAAAGAGAAATAAAAAGAAAAAATTCCTCCCAAAGACTATTGAACCACTTGCTGTGAATAAGAAGCCCAACACTGTAGAGCATGAAAGCAAGCTATCAGCAAATTCTGAAAGGTCAAGTGGGGAAACAGCTGAATCCTCTTTGAAATTGGAGCCACAAGTTTCAGGATTTGGCATTGTCCTTGAATCTTCCTCTTCAGATGTAAGTATATGCAATAAATTGTATAAAACTTCCAGTTGCTGGCTAAATAAATCCCAACTACAATGCTGGCATGATGTTATATATTTTGTACCCAGAGCAGCATTTTTTAAGATTTATCAGTGATGGTGCTTGCTTACGAGATATTTACCTGCATCTGGGCTATTCTTCCAAGTGATTTTTCCAGGAAATACTTAAGTATAGTTACTGAATATCCTGACAAATGCACATGGTCACTCAGGTCCTGTTTAATATTTGCCTCAAGGGCAGTATCCAGAAACAACAACAATGTATCTAGCATTGAATAGGGACAAGAACAGGAATTATCTTGTGGATCTTGTAAATGTTTTGTTAATGAATAGATAACCCACCCACCCCGCCATGTTGATGCCAAAATACAATGATCAAGTGAGATACTACTGCTTCTCACTTGATCTTAAAGAAGAGGTTTCAGGAGTGGAGGCTGGACTGGAATGGGGAGCCTTCATCAGCAGCAACAACATACCATAGTTAAAGAAGCTGCCTGTAGACCTTGAAAGCTTATCACTTCTCCTTAGCCAGATCAGAGTAATTGGCTTTTTTGAAGTGTGGAGGTGACAGTGCAGCAGGGCTATTGGCTTACATGCATAAAATTCATTTCCAAAAGAGAATGCGATATATCATTCAGCCATCCCTTTCTGGGCTCCTTTTCTTTCTTCCTTTCAAAGGAGCCTGGGTTTGAGCAACGGGGTTAAGGAAGCACCCTTCCTGGGCTACCTACCTTTCTTTCTTTCTTTCTTTCTTTCAAGAGGAGCAGACATAAAGGGGGGTTGTATGCTCCCTGTATGCTCCTCCAGGGAGCAATCAGGCTGCCACCCATTGGACCATTTGTAGCTTCCGAACTGTCTTCAAAGGCAACCCCACATAGAACACGTTGCAGTAGTCTACTTGGGATGTAAGTAGAGTGTGGACTACTGTGGCCTTCGCAGGATACAGGCACAAGTGGTGCACAAGTTTTAATTGTGTAAAAGCCTCCAGCCACCACCAAGACCTGGGATCCCAGGCTTAGCAATGAGTCCAGGATCACTCCCAAGCTGTGAACCTGTGTCTTCAGGAGGAGTGTAAACCCGTCCAGCACAGGTTGTAACTCTATCCCTGTTTGGCTTTACACTGACCAGGAGGACCTCTGTCTTGTCTGGATTCAGTTTCAGTTTGTTCGCCCTCTGTCAGAGCTGCCAAGCACCAGGACCTGAACAGTCTTCTTTAGCAGCAGATGGAAAGGAGTAATAGAGTGGGACGTCACCTGTGTACAGATGACATCAAACTCCAAAACTCAGGATGATCTCTCCCAGCGGCTTCATGTAGATGTTAAACAACAGGGAGGACAATACTGAACCCTGCGGGACCCCACAGGAAAAAGCTGCGGGGCCGAGCAGGTGTCCCCCAACAACACCTTCTGAGAACAGTCCTCCAGGAAGGACTGGAGCCACTTGAAAACAGTTCCTCCAAGCCCCATTCCCATGAGGTGTCCCAGAAGGATACCATGGCCTACAACATCGAAGGCCGCTGAGAGGTCCAGGAAAACCAACAGGGACACACACCCCCTATCAAGTTCCCTATGTAGATCATTCATAAGATGACCAAGGCTGTTTCAGTTCCATGACCGGGCTTAAATCCAGACTGTGCTGGATTCAGATAATGAGTTTCCTCCAAGAACACCTGCGGTTGCGAGGCCAATTCAATAATAATAATAATAATAATAATAATAATAATAATAATGCTTTATTTGTACCCCGCTACCATCTCCCCAAGGGACTCGGTGCGGCTTACATAAGGCCGAGCCCAAACACAACAATACAAGCAATAATAACAACAGTACACGCAATTAAAAACACATAGGCAATAAGATACACAACAATATCAATAAAACAACACATAATTAAAAACAGTGGGAAGGCCAAATGTAGAGTTAAAATTGGAAATAATGCTGGGACATGAACGGAAAGTGATACTGGTGTTTGTGTAAGGGCATACGAGCAGACTTAAAGAAATGTAAAGTGCTTTGGAGGACAAAGACTGCCAAAGTTGGAGCCTGTCTGATGTCTTTAGGGAGTGAGTTCCAGAGTCGAGGGGCCACCACCGAAAAGGCCCTCTCTCTCGTCCCCACCAATCGCACCTGCGATGCTGGTGGGATTGAAAGCAGGGCCTCTCCAGATGATCGAAGGGATCGTGTGGGTTCATATACAGAGATGCGATCATGCAATTCAATAATTACAAGGCAATTATCATATCTCATTATTAAATATAACTATACAAGAACACCACAAAAACACAATGTGGATGTGTTTAATGGTAAATTAAAGAGAGGGCTTTCCTGGGTTTATAACTATTTTTAAACATTAGAAAAGTTGTCATAAGGAAAAGAAGTGTGATTTAACCTGCCCTGGAGGCTAGGACTCAATGCAGCGATGGGTTCAAATGAAAGGAGAATGCACTTGAACATTAGTAAGAACTTCCTGACCATAACAGCTGTTCAACAGTGGTACTTGCTGCCTCAGTGTGTGGTGGAGACTCCTTCCTTGGAAGTTTTTAAACAGAGGCCAGACGGCCATCTGACAGGGTGCTTTGATTGTGCTGTTCCTGCATGGCAAGGGGTTGGACTAGATATCCCCTGTGATCTCTTCCAACTCAACGATTCTGTGATCTTCTGGGTTATCACAGATGTCTGTAGGAACTGGATTAATGAGCGTGAAATTCCGTACAAATCAATATTGATAAATCAGATAATTATTTTTTTTAAATCATCCCAATGCAAAAAAAGAAAAATACTGTTATGTCTTACAAAAAAGGATGACAAAATCACAAAAATAACTTCTCTTTTCTTTTATAAAAAGAAAACGGTTACAAAAAACACACACAAAATGAATCAGTAGTCATTCTTGTAGCTGGTGGAGATGTAGAAAATTTTCATTCTACAAAGAGGCCAAAGGGAGTGCCCACATCCACCCACCAAATGCCAGTTTCGCCAGTTAAAAATAGCAGTCCTATACTGGGAAGGAGTTTTGGAGCATTGAGGAAAATATTGATTTATCAATATTTGATTTACAAATATGTTTGTTTAGTTATTTGTGGTGCTATGTGTCATAAGATTTTTTAAAGAAAAAGTTGTTGTTTTCAGTGTTGTGCAGAGAAGGGAAGAAGACGTTGTTCTTTTGAGGGATTTTGACAATCTGATCATTATGTCTCTCTTTCTGATTCGGTCTAGTAAGGATAGCTGTGGCCAAAGCTGTCATTTTTTGCCCTTAACTGAAAGGGTGATTTATACTACAAAACTACCTCCTGTCTTTGCAGTTGTATGAGCTTTCATCATTAAATGTTGGGCAGACTTAAGCTAAATGAAAGTGTACCCTTCTTCGTTCTTTAAAATAGGGATAAGAAGGACCCTCTAGACCAGGGGTCCTCAAATTTTTAAAACAGAGGGCCAGTTCATGGTTCCTCAGACTTTCAAGTGGGTGAATTATAGTTGGAAAAATCCATGAACAGATTCCTATGCACAGTCCACATATTTTATTTGTAGTGCAAAAAAATGAAAGAACAATGCAATATTTAAAATTAAGAACAACTCTAACCAACACTTACCAGTATTTCAATGGAAAGAGTTGGCCTGCTTTTGGCTGATAGGATAGTCAAGTTAATTAGGATTGTTGTTGTGTGCCTTCAAGTTGTTTTAGACGTAAAGGTTTCCACTTGACAATAAGTCTAGTCGTGTCCAATTCTGGAGGGTGGTGCTCCTCTCCATTTCTAAGCTGAAGAGCTGGCATTGTCCATAGACACCTCCAGGGTCATGTGGCCAGCATCAGGGCCGTAGCCAGAAATTTTTTGGGGGGAGGGTTGAAACTTTTTTTAGCAAATCATGAAAAGTAGTTCAATAACACAACAACATTTTTAATACAGTCCAAAGATCCTTATTGCTCCGTAAAAGGTAGAAGATACAAGGTATGCAAGGTTAGTAAGGTCAAAAATAGCAAAACTGATTAAAACACATGATGTGGGTGGAATAAACAGCAGATAAAACTGATAAAACAGGGATTAAAACTTATAACTAGCATTTAAGATAGCAATGACCTAGGTAAAAGACAACAAGGGGTAACAGGCATGTTTCATCGTGCCATAACATAAAATACTTTAAATTATATGGTTTCAATTAGATTTTATATAGACTTCATTAAATCAAATTTCTATTTTAGTTAAAGTTTCAAGTCTTAAAATAACTAAAAATGATTGCTAATTGATAATTTATAGTTACAAAAGAATACCACAACGTTTGTTAGAAACACTTGAAAACTGTGTCAATACATTTTGACAGAAATCAGGCTCTGTTGATAAACTTCGGTGGACACTCAAGAGTACAAGTCCAGTCAGTCTTTCTTGCCTCATTGTGCTTCTTGTGTATGTTTTCAAACGTTTAAGGGTTGAAAACGACCTTTCATTTGTAGCTGTTGACACTGGCAATTTTGCAGAAATCTCAAGAAGTTTCTTCACATTCAGGAAAAACTGTCCATCACAGACAAGATAAGATATGCTTCCAGTGCATTTGATGGTTTTTCTGCAGGTGCAATCTCATAGACTTAGAGTGGGGATTAACCAGTTAAAATTCACGAGTTTCATTTCTAACCTACAGGCCTGGCCAGCATTACTACATAGAGTGCCGTTACCTTCCCACTGAAGTGATACCTGTTGATCTATTGATATTTGCATGTTTTCAAACTGCTAGGTTGACAGAAGCTGGGGCTAACAGCAGAAGCTCACCTTGCTCCCCGGATTTGAACCTTTCGGTGGTCAGCAAGTTCAGCAGCTCAGTGGTTTAACCCACTGCACCACTGGGGGCAACCCTAACTCTAAAGTTTAGGATGGGATCCGGGCAAATGACCTTGGAGGGCTGTATCCAGTCCATGGGTCTTAGTTTGGGGACCACTGGCTTAGGCATTCTCCCAACCTGTCAAAATAACATCTGAACGCGTTTA